TTAGTAGCTGGAAAATGTGGCCTTGATGGTAGAAATAACACCAGAGATTCCATGATAGAATTTTACCAGACTAACGACTTACTCATTGCGTGAATTTTTTTTTTTTTTAACAATATAAATGGCATTTCTACACGTGGACCTCCCTGGATTGAATACACAGGTGTCAGGTTGACTGCATCTGTGGAAGGAGATGAGGGAGCAACTCAACAGCTTCAGTCAGAAAAAGGCCAGGGCCTGACTGCAGTGCAGACCATCACTTGCTCATGTGCAAGTTCAAGTAGAAGCTGTAGAAAATTAAAACAAGTCCGCGAGAGCCAGATTATGACGTTGATTATCTCCCACCTGAATTTATAGACCATCTCAGGAATGGATTTGATGCATTGAATGCTAATGACCCAAGATGAGATGAGTTATGAGGACATCATACACAAAGAAAGCGAAAGGTCATTAAAAAGACAGGAAGGAAAGAAAACAGAAAAATGGATGTCAGAAGAAACTTTGAAACTTGCTCTTGAACGTAGAGTAGCTAAAGAAAGTGGAACAAATGCTGAAATTTTAAAAGAGCTGAACAGATTTCAAATGGCCACTCAAGTAGACAAAATAAAATATTATAGTGAATGTTCAGAGCCTTGGAGTTAGAGACTAAAGAGAAGAACATGCTTGGCATTTGTGTAGATGAGAGAACCGGAGGGCAGGTTCAGGCGAGGGTTTCATGGGCAAAATACTGAACAACGCAGGAGGCATCCAAACAGGAGGGAAGGAATACATGGAATCACTGTACCAAAGCAATTGGTTGATGTTCAGCCATTTCAGGAGGTAGCATATGATCAAGAACTGATGGTAACAAAGGAAGACGTTTAAGCTGCACTGAAGGTGTTGGTAAAAAACAAGGCCCCGGGAGTTGACGGAATACCAGTTGAGGTGTTTCCACAGATGGGTGTAACACTAGAAATGCTGATTTGTCTATGCAAAAAAAATTAGAAGACTGCCACCTGGCCAACCAATTGGAAGAGATCTATGTTTCCAAAAAAAAGGTGTTCATTCCAGAAAATAGGCTATCCAAGCGAATGTGTAAGTTACTGAACGGTATCACTGACATCCCACACAAGTGCAGTCGTGCTGAGGATAATTCAAACATGCTCGCAGCAGTGCACGGACCGGGAACTGCCAAACTTCAAGTCTGAATGTCGCCTCTACTGTGGAATGCCAGAAGAGCAAAGACATGGGTCCTGGAAGCAGTACAGCCAGAATGCCCCATGGAAACAAGGGTGGTGGGACTTTATCTCACGTGCTTTGGTCGTGTTTTCCGGAGGGACCCGTCTCTGGAGGAGGACGTCATGCCTGCTAAAGTAGAGGGTTGGCCCGAAGGAAGACGATGCTCAGTGAGCTGCCTTGCCCAGTGGCTTGAGTGATGGGCTCAAACATTGCAGCTGTTGTGAGGCCGGTACAGAACTGGTAGCGTCGCATTGTGTCCGTGGGGTCGCTAAGAGCTGCAACCAACTCGATGGCATGGAGAACGGTAACAAGTTGTTTGTCAAAACTTGGACTATTTCTTAAAGTTGGTGCATCCTATTTTATAAGTTACAAGTCAGTGATGTTAGTTTTAAAAGTGAAACCAAGGGAACAAAAGGAAACCTCCGGCCCTTGGGTTGGGCTCTTGACGGCCGCATTGTGCTGCTTTTGAATCCAGGTCGGTGTTGGGACTGCAGCTGCCCTCGAGCCCAGGCGTCTTCGGGGTCGAAGTGGGTGTGCACAAGTGACTGTTGTTAACGTGTGTGCATCAGTGCCCACCGCCCATCTGTCCGTCTGTCCTCCTTTGGTGGCTTACGTGTTGCTCTGAGGGTGCAGGCTATGCCACCAGTATTTCAGATACCAGCAGCGTCACCAGAGTGGACAGGTTCAGTGGGGCTTCCGACTAAGACAGACGTGGAGGAAGGATGAGCCCATCTACTTCTGAAAAACTGGGCACTGAAAACCTTATGAGTAACAGTGAGACCTGGAAATAATGCTGGAAAACTTTATGAAGAGCCGGGAGCGTTGTCCAGCATGGCGAGGCCTGTGAAGCTGGTGCAAGACGGGGCAGTGTTTTGTTCTGTCGTTCGTGGGGTCGCCATGCGTCGGAGCCAGCGTGATTGTACCTAACAGCAGCAATATCAATACATGAATTTGGTGGTGTGGTGGTTAAGGTATTGGGCTACTAACAGAAAGGTCAGTGGTTCAAATCTACCAGCCTGTCCATGGAAGAGAGATGAGGCAGTCTGCTTCTGTAAAGATTTACAGCCTTGGAAACCCAATGGGATTACTGTGAGTCGGAATGGACTCGATGGCAGTGAGTCTGATTCAGTTTGGTTTATGTCAATTTATACACACAGTAGGTGTTCATAGTGTGTGTGTGTGTGTGTGTGTGTGTGTGTGAGTGTATCTGTCTGTATACAGATACATAGACAGAGATAGATGCTTTATGGCACCATGCCTAAATGGCCTGATACTAACCGAAAGGGCGGCTCTCTGGCAGAAAGATGTGGCAATGAACTTCTGTAAAGATTTGCAGCCTTCAGAACCCTGTGTGGCAGTTGTACTGTGCCATATAGGTTCCCTATGACTCAGAGCAGACTTGATGGCACACATACATATGTATGTATATTTGTGTATATACCTGTGTGCTCACACAGTCGACTCTTATACAACACATAGGTTAGGGGTACCAACTCCCCATGCAGTAAAAAAAATCTGTGTATAACTTCTGACTCCCCCAAACCTTAACTACTAACAGCTGTCTGCTGACCAGAAACATCACTGAGAACATGAACAGTGGATGGGCACAGTTCTTGCAGGACAGGCGTTGGATTTTCACTGAGGACACTCACTCTCACACGCACACACACACTCACACACACACAACAGGTGAGTGTGTTAACTGCTCGGCATGATGGGGGTTTACTGCTGACTGAGTGGACGTGGGTCATCGTGGATGTCTTCATCCTCACCGTCTTCATGTTTAGTAGGCTGAGGAGGAGGAGGAAGAGGAGGGGCTGGCCGTGCTGTCTGGGGGGGTGCAGAGGTGGAAGGGAAGGCGGGGGGGGGCAGCACACTCGGTGTGATTTAAGGAAACAGACTGTGACGCCTGCCTGACTTCCTTGCTTTTTCATTTTCTTACAAATGTTCCTCTACAGCACCAACCCCTCTTCCACCGTTTGCTTTGGAGTCAATGCCTGTATCACAGAAGGGCCATGTCTTCAAAGAACTGAGAAGCGTCTAGAATGATCGGCAGCTTCTGCCGGACGGTCTCCTGTGGGTGGGTTTGCTGGCACTGCTGCTTTTCCGTCGTCCTCTCCAGTGTCTGGCCCGGGTTCGGAAGGCCTCACCTCCATCACGTCATTTATTCCTCTAGTGTGGTGCCTGTTAGTGCCTGAATTTCTTCAAGATCCCGATCTTGGAGAAAAGGTGTGGATAAGAGGACCTGCACAGCTCAGGTCTGTGGGGTCAGCTATAGATGTCGGATTTTTTTGATCATGAAACCGTACAGAACTGTGAACTTCCGTGGTGTCTGAGGCCCTTGGGACATATGTTGGCTTTTTTGGATCATAAAACCGTACAGAATTGTGAACTTCTGTGATGTCTGAGGCCCTTGGGACGTGGGCTTGTTCCGTCTGCACGTGCTGCTCTAGCAGCGTGTTGAGGGCACCCGACGGTGGCTCCGCCTGGTCCTGTGTGGCCGCGGAAAGGTTGATGGTCAGTGGAGGCTGCGAATGCCCTGGGCCTGGGCCCTGCTTGTGGCCCCGGGGGCTCACTGCTCTGTGTCCGTTCCTTTTACCCAGCTCCTTTCCGCTGCCCTCGTGGAATTCCAGAGCACAAAGCTGCTTCCAGAGTTTTGCAGTGAGACTGTAAGTAGAGCCTGCGAGACTCAGCAGTGACCAGGGGCCCTTCATGTTCTCTTTTTCACAGGGCTACCTTCCGGCCAACGTCGACCGCAGACCGGCCACTCTGCGCAGAAAGCAGAAGGAATACTTTGCTTTCATTGAGCACTACTACGACTCCCGGAATGACGACGTCCACCAGGACACCTACAGACAGGTGCGGGGCCTTTCTCCTTCTCATCTGCTCCTTCAGAGACTTGGGTCTGGGGCACCGGGCAGGAGGGCGTGCTAGTCAACATGTCGCCCACGGGCCGGGGGTTCACATCCCTGATGGGTCTTCAGGTTCATCCCCATGGGCCGGTGGGTTCATGTCCCAGACAGTTCTGTGGGTTCATGTCCCGACGGGTCCGCGGGTTCACGTCCCTGATGGGTCGTCAGGTTCATCCCCATGGGCCGGTGGGTTCATGTCCCAGACAGTTCTGTGGGTTCACGTCCCGACGGGTCAGCGGGTTCACGTCCCTGATGGGTCGTCAGGTTCATCCCCATGAGCCAATGGGTTCATGTCCCAGACAGTTCTGTGGGTTCATGTCCTGACGGGTCAGCGGGTTCACGTCCCTGATGGGTCGGCAGGTTCACATCACTAATGTGTCGTTGGGCTCACATCCCCACAGGTCCTCGGGTTCAGTCCCCGATGGACTGGCAGGTTCATGTCCTGAACAGGTCTGTGGGTTCACATCCTGACAGGTCAGTGGATTCACGTCCCTAATGGGTCAGCGGGTTCACCTCCTGACGGGTCTGTCGGTTCATGTCCTGACAGGCCAGTGGCTTCATGGCTGTGACAGGTCGGTGGGTTCATGTTGCTGACGGGCTGGTGGGTTCACATTCCCACAGGTCTGTGGGTTCATGTTCCCTATGGGCTGGAGGGTTCACGTCCCGGACAGGTCCATGGGTGCATGTCCCGATGAGCCAGTGGGTTCATGTCCCCACAGGTTGGTGGGTTCACGTCCCCGACAAGTCGGCGGGTTCACATGCCAGCGGGCCTATGGGCTCGTTTTTTAACCTTTGCCAACAAACTGTGACTTTCCTCTAGTAGTAGCCCTGTGAGCCCTGTGCTTGTCTCCAGGACCTTACATAAAAACACAAAGCATGTTTTGATTGGCGTCATGGTTGTAGGAGATTCCCTTGGCGGCTGTGGAGCTGCCGGGCCATGTTGGTTTTGAGAGTCTTTTTAGGTGGGAGTGAGCAGAAGGCGTGAGTACCTATCTGAGGACAGGAGGGCTGTCCAGAAGGTCTAGGCCAGGCTGCTCCCTGGAGGAGACCTAGACAGGGGCTCCCCGGGCATCGGGGCGTGTGCTTTGTGGCATGGTTAGGGGCTGGGTAGAAGGGTGGGTGGTTTATCGTTTTGCTGCTGGGTTCAGTACATGGTGCATTTACAGTTTCTTGAGCAGTCAGCTGGTGGGCAGTGTGGGAAGTGGTTGATCTACTGCTCACAGTGGCTCCAGATTTGCCACCAGAGCAAGCTCTCCAGGGGCCCTGCCACTCTCCCTCTCCTCACAATATGTGAAGATTCATGACTTTGTGCTTAAGCAGAAGGTGGTTCTTGGTTGGAGGCTCTGCCACGTGTTTGCGGGAGGAGGGTTTGAGGAGGGAAGAGCTCCCTTGGAAAGTTGACTCTTGATGAAGGAGTGGTAGGTAGTGTTTCCTGCCTCAAGGGCGGATGTCCACATATTTCCATCCACTTGGGACAGATCTGAGGCAGTCTCTCCCCTGACGCAGATGAAGGAGGTTCCATGCCAGGCAGGTTCTTGGGGGGTGTCCCCCTCAGGTGAGCAGCCATCAAGTACCCCCAACCCCTGACTCATGGTGCCCCCCACCAGCTGGGCTGTTGTGGCCCTAAACAGAGGGCATGGAGGCCCCTCCTCCAGCCTCACAAGGGGGACAGAGAGGGGTCAACAGCATCAGCCCGAGGCCGGTTCCTGTGAGGCAACAGTCAGACATGCTGCCCACCTCCAGCCTTCTTGCTGACTCTGACATCAGCCGTCTGTCCCACGGCACTCACTACTGCTCTGCTCGTTCAGTGACTTGTTGCAACGGCCACACACAACTCACAGATGATCCTCATGGTTGTGGGGTTTATTAGGGAAGAAACAGGCTGTACCTCAGGTTCCAGACCTTGATCAGGACAGTCTCCCCTCAGCCATGCTTGCAGGTATGCCCCTCTGGCCCTCCGCCTCCCTGCGTGGGCCGTGCACCTGCTCTGCAGGAGGTGCACCGCGTCCTGGTACCCTCCTGCCCGCAGGCACTCAGCTCTCTTGCCTCTTGGGCGGGCGAGCCGCTGCTGCGTCTCGTGCTGGCCTCTCCGTTCTGTCACTGCTGCTGCTGCCACCCACCTCTCTGCCGTCTCACTGCAGGGATCTCGGTCCAAGGACACGGTCCCCTCTTGGCTGCTCTCTGTCTTGATGGTCGTGAGGTCCCTGGTTTCCACCTCTGAGAGGACTCGTTTCAACCTCGTGAGGTGACAGAACTGACCAGTCCCCACATTAGAGTTCTATGGTCCATCCGCATAAGGGTACCACGTACCTTGTTTACATTGTCCACAAGCTGCCCACTCCCCGTGGTGGGCATAAGCATCTTACATTTGCGTGGTTCCAAGAGTCATCTGGTGGGAGTCACAATGACCTTGGCTGGAAGGACAAGACCAAATCATTCACTATGTGACAGGCCCACAGGGTTCCCATTGGCTGATTTCTGGTGGTGTAGTGCCTAAGGGACTTGACTGCTAACCAGAAGGCTGGTGGTTCAAACCCACCAGCCACTCCTCGGAAGGAAGGTTGGGCAATCTACTTCTGTAGTGATGCCACCTCAGAAACCCAAGGAGGGGTTGCTAGGAGTTGGATTGACTTGCCGGCAGTGAGTTTGGTTTTGGATTTTTTTCATTTCAGCAAGTCGCTCACCAGGCCTTTCTTCCTAGCTCCTCCTTGTAGACAGGGGGGAATGTGGACTTGTTTCGGGTGGCAGAGGTAGGCAGTGAGAAGGCTGGGACGGGTTCCTCCACCCGTTTGGGCAGGGCCATCTCTGCTCTGGCCCTTGTTGCCTACGGTGGCGTGTGACCTGCTGGCTCCAGCCCACATGGGACTGATGAGAGATACAGATTGCGTGATGTGGGTTCGGGAAGTGAGGCCGGTTGCCGTTGAGGTGGTCCTGACTGATGGAGATGCCGTGCCCAGCCCTGTGCCAGCCCCGTGACCCAGAGCCTCTTGCAGGGAGGGTGAGTGTTCTACTGGGGAGCCCCAGTGCCCCAGGGAAAGACCAGATAACTTCTCTTTCCTCCACTCGCTAGTTCTAGGGGCAGATACACCGAATACTGTATTGCACACGGCCTTGATGTGCTTCCATTGAGAAACAGGCTTCTAAAGGCAGATGGGAGCAGGGGCCTGCCTGCAAGGTCTCCCAGCTCTGCTGGCCTGGATTGAAGGGAAGTTTAATTAAGGACAGGTTGTGTACATATTGGTTCAGTTGCTATCATAGGTAATAAAAACTTCCATAGTATTGAGAATTCCCAGAGACTCCTGGGAAGCAGTGCTGTGGCCCCACCTCCTGCCGCCTCCCCACTGGGGTGATAGCTTTGCTGCAGCCCCACAGGTTTCTATGTGAATTAGAACCTGAAGAATTTACGTGTTGCCCTCTTTGCACTTGGGGTGCCATATGTCACAGGCACACACTTGTCTGGCTAGTGCCACACTATTGAGGCAGAGCTGCCCGACTTTGGCCTTGAGTTACTGCCTGCTCTGTGAATCCCATGTGGGACCCCGAGAGCAGGTGCACACGCTCTCCCACCCCCGGCAGCAACAGGAGGTGGGGCCACAGTGAGGTTCCCCCTTAGTCTTTGTTTTGACCTCACTTGATGGTCAAGTGTGGGCTGTTCTGCTGAAGTCACTTGAGCAGTGCCCAGGGCCGCACCCCTAAACACTCCATGCACCATAGCCCGCTCTGCCCTGCCCCGCCCTCCTCTCCCCGCTCCCCCTTTTCCCTCCCCTCCCCATCCCTTCCTCTCCCCCCTTCTCCTCCCTTCATCCTTCCCTCTCCTGTCTCCCCTCTCCCCTGGCCTCTCCCTCCTCCCTCCCTATTTAAACATCCCTGCGTGCCTGTTCCCTGAGCCCCTGTGGGCCCTTGGCAGTGTTGAGGCTTTGGTCCCGAAGCTCACATCAGACAGGGACAAGCAGCAGTCAGCCGTCAGTGGTGGGGATTTCTAGATGCTTCCCTTAAATGTGGCCTGGATTCCCGAGGACTGCCAGGTGGAGAGAAATGTGGCCTGTGTTCCAGGAAGGAGCTGTGGTGGCTGAGAGCTTGGTCCCTGCTGTGCTCGAGCCGCTTCGTGTCAGAGGCTGAAAATCACTGTTGACTAACTGCTGTGGACCGTGTTCTACAAGCCAAGGGGCTCTGTGCTCACCATGCAGTGCACTGTGTCGGGGACATGGCCAGCCAGCCTGATGGCCTAGATCAGGTGACCCATGTGGGTTGGACAGTCCTGGTGCACTGGGTCAGGGGACATGGCCTGCGAGCCCAATGGCCAGACCAGGCGACCTCATGCAGGCCTCGAGTGTCTCCCTCAGAGGATATAGGAGAAAACAGAGAATTGGTGTCTCTAGAGGGAGTGCGGGCTGCGATCCACAGCCCTTCCCTGCCGTCACCTCGTGTTGCCATTTAATCACGATGCCGCATACCGTCTGTAACTTTAAAGTGACTTTCCCTTTGTCCTGCCTCTGCAGATCCACATAGACATCCCTCGCATGAGTCCGGAGGCTTTAATACTTCAACCCAAAGTGACGGAGGTGAGAGCCAGCTTGGGAGACTGCGGCGGGGTGTTCCCTTTGTGGGGCGTGCATGCTGAGGCTGCACTGATGGGTCGTCAGGCCCGGGGCAGGCGCGGGGCTGTACTGGCGAGGTGGCTCTGTGCACGTAATACCCGGCAGCAGTCAGCAGGTACTCTTCAGGTGTTTATTATGAGCAGTGAGATGTATGCAGGAGTCTGTGCGGTGCGTGTGTGCGTGCACGCATGTGTGTGTGCGATACACTCCCAGACCCCCCGCCCCGTTTATAAAGCCGACCCCCCAGTGCTGCCCAGCTGCACACATCGGCTGTAACTGTTGAAGCTGCTCCTGTGTCTCTGTCTCTTTTATTCTTTCCAGTTTAACGTTATTGCTGTCAACTAGGCATGATATAAGCTTTGCCACTCTAAGCGTGCAGTTCCACAACATCATCTGCATCCACGCCGTGCACCCATGGCCACTGCCTCTCTCCAGAATGTTTTGTTTCTGTGTTCTCATCCCTGGCCTGCAGCTCTCTCGTTAGAGAGAGGACCGCTCTGGAGTTTTGTGCTCATGCCCGCTGGCCGCTCTTTGTGGCTCTGCTGCATGTCCCGAGGTGCTCGTTAACTGGCGTGGGGTAGATTTTGCCTCTTTGGAATTGTGCTGCTCTCTGTGTAGTCTGGTCTCTGTGACTTGCTTTTTTCTCCCCATGTTGTTTTCTGAGATTCAGCTAATCCGTTGTGTTTGGTTGTGTAACAGTCCATTGCTTAAATATTCCACACTTTCTCTTTTCTCCTGTTGATGGGCATTTGATTTTTCTTTAGTGTTTTGCTATTAGGAAAGTGTCACCAAGAATGTTTAGGTTCATGTGTGCAGGTCCCCGTGGGCAAGAATTTCTCTAGGGCACGTATGTAGAAGTAGACTCTAGGGCACAGGAGCTCTGGTGGTGCAGTGCGTAAGGCATTTGCCTGTTAACCAAAAGGTCAGTGGTTCAAGCTCATTAGCCACTCCATGGAAGAAAGGTGAGACAGTCTGCTTCCATAAAGATTTACAGCCTTGGAAACCCAGTGGGGGCCACTGTGGGTTGGCATTAACTCATGGCAGTGAGTTTGGTTTTTCGTTTGGAGAAGCCCAAGCAGCAATGAAGACATTGGTGAAAAACAAGCTCCAGGAATGATGGAATAGCAGCTGAGATGTTTCAACAAATGAATGCTGTGCTGGAAGCCCTCATTTGTCTGTGCCAAGAAATGTGGGAGACAGCCACCAGGCCAACCGACTGGAAGAGATTGGTATCTGTGTCCATTGGAAAGAAAGGTGATCCCACAGAATGCAGAAATTATCGAACAGTATCGTTACTGTCACATGCAAATAAAGTTTTGGTGAAGATAATTAAAAAACAAATGCAGCAGTACATTGACAGAAAGCTGCCAGGAGTTCAAGCTCGATTCAGAAGAGGACAGGAAACGTTGCTGATGTGTGATGGACCTTAACTGAAAGCAGGGAATACCACAAAGGTGTTTACTTGTGTTTTACTGACTCTGCAAAGGCACTCACTGTGGGTCATCACAAATTGTGGATAACATCGCAAAGAGTGGGAATTCCAGGACACTTACTTGTGCTCATGAGGAAACCGTACACAGACCAAAAGGCTGTCTCTCATTCAAACAGAACAAGGGGACACTGCATGGTTTAAAATGAGGAAAGGTGTGTGTCAGGGTTGTATCCTCTCACTATACTTACTCGATCTGCATGCTGAGCAAATAATCTGAGAAGCTGGACTGTATGAAGAAGAACGTGGCATCAGGATTGGAGGAAGACTCATTAACAACCTGAAATATGCAGATGACACAACCTTGCTTGCTGAAAGATGACTTGAAGCACTTACTGAATATCAAAGAGTACAGTCTTCAGTATGGATTACACTTCAACATAAAGGAAACAAAAATCCTCACAACTGGACCAATAAGCAACATTCTGATAAATAGAGAAAAGACTGAAGTTGTCAAGGGTTCAATTTCATTTGGATCCACAATCAACACCCATGGAAGTAGCAGTCAGGAAATCAAATTGTGTATTACGTTGGGCAAATCTGTTGAAAAAGACCTCTTTAATGTGTTTAAAAAGCAAAGGTGTCATTTGGAAGACTAAGGTGTGCCTGAGCCAATCCATGATATTTTCAGTTGTCTCATACACATATGAAAGCTGTCGCCACACAATGAGTAAGGAAAACCAAAGTGTTAATGCCTTTGAGTTACAGTGTTTGCAGAGAATAGTGAATGTACCATGGACTGCCACAGGAGCTCTGGTGGCCATAGTGGTTAAAGCATGTGGCTGCTAACCGAAAGGTCAGTGGTTTGAATCCACCAGCCACTATGCGAGAGAAAGATGAGACAGTTTGACAGCCTTGGAGACTCTAGGGAACAGTTCTACTCTGTCCTCAAGGGTTGCTATGAGTCGGAATTGACTCAGTGGCAGTGAGGGTTTTTTTTTTTTTTTTGTATTAACTACCAGAACAACAAACAAATCTGTCTTGGAAGAGGTACAGCCAGAATGCTCCTTTGAAGCAAGGATGGCGAGACGTTGTCTCCTTACCTTTAATACATTATCAGGAGGGACCAGTCCCTGGAGAAGGACATCGTGCGTGGGGAAGTAGAGGGTCAACAAAAGTGAGGGAGACCCTCAACGTGACGGACTGACGCAGTGGCTGCAGCGGTGAACCCACACACGGCAGCAGTCGCGAGGGCGGCACAGGACTGGGCACGGCCTTGTTCTCTTGACACTGAGCCACTGTGAATCGCAGCCAACCTGACGGCCCGGGACAACAGCAACAACAGAACGGCCGCGTGATGGCCTTGGTAGCTAAGGCGTAGAGTTCTCCCCTCCTGGGTGAGAGACCCAGGTTCGATTCCCGACCAGCGTCCCTCATGCCAAGCTGCCACCCACCTGTCAGGGGAGGCTGGCATGTGTCTGTGATGCTCAGCAGGCTTCCACGCTACCTCTGTGACACCTGAACAGGAATCAGCCGGCAAAGACCCTGTGGGTCTCAGTGGCCCTCCACAGCTGGTCATGGGGATGGCATAGGACTGGCTGTGTTTTGTTCTGTTGTGTGTAGGGTGTCCGTGAGTTTGGTGGACTTGGTGGCAGCTAACAATGGCGATGAAACAACTTACACATCACAAGGGCGTTCTCCCATATTTTCATCAAAACTTTAAGATTTTGCCTCTCACACCTGAGTGTCGAGCGCCTCTGTTGTTGATGGCTGTGTGTTGTGTGATGTGGGACCCTAGGCTGTTTCCTCATGTGACAGCCTTCCTCCCTCACCCTATTGGCTCCTTGTGGTCTCCACACACTTGGAATACCACTTCCATGTTCTGCCATTTTCTCGTCTGCATAGATTTGCATTTGTGTCCTTGACTTTGTCCACTGTTCAGGTTACCTTCCCTTGATGCTTATTCTGCTGACAACTTTGCTTTGGAACAAGTCTGTTATATGTCTGGTAGAAGTCCCCCCTCCACACTCATGGGGTGGTCTTAGCCCTTTGCTCTTCCCTGGCATTTGCTTGGCTTGTCTTTGGCATTTAAGGCATGTTTGAATTATGGGTGGAACAGTCCTTGGTGTAGGTCAGGGTGGAGAAGTGACGCCTTTTGGTTTTAGTCTTCTTTTGAGTGAGCACGCCCTCTCTCCCTCTTTTAGGCCAGTTTCAATGTCTTTCACTGATGTTTAGAGCTTTCTCCAGGAAAGGTCTTGGGTATGTTTTATTAGCTTTATTCTTTATCATATATTTTTTGTTTTTATTGTAAATGGTATCTCTTTAAAAGGGAATTTCTTGCTGCTCGAAGTGTTTCGTTTTGCACTGAGTCCTCCAGAACGCACTCTTGAACTTGGGCACCTCTTGTCTGTGCAGTTAGTGTGTTAAAAAATCACCTGGGATTTTAGTTAAAGCAGAAGTACTTGGAGCTGGCAGAACACAAAGAGGGATGAGCTTTCCACGCAGGTAGTCACCATGAGACCCTGCTCTGTGCTTGTCCTTTTCGGTAATTGTGCACCTTCTGGCTGGAAAACAAGAGGTAACGTCTTATAACCTCCTCTTTTGATTTATCCTTTCATGAAAAATAGAGTCTCCTCCAAGACCTTCGGTTTGTGTTTTACTTTTCCCACCGTGTGATAGATTCCTTGGAGAGTGCACGCTCAGGAGCGTTGGCTTTGGAGAGTTGATCTGCAGTGACTCCCGGGTGACCTGCTCTGTCTGGGGGAGCTCGGGCTTGGTCCGGTCACTTTGAACACACCTGCTCCGGCAGTGGGTCCAACGCAGTTTCCCACTCAGCCCTCCTGGGCGCCTCCTGGAGATGGAACATCTCCCAGGCTGCAGGCTCAGCCAGGTGACAAAACTGAAAAGAAAGCAGTCAGCTTCCGGGGCAGAGGGGGGCTCGTGCTGGCTGGTCAGGTGTGACCGGTGGGCCATCGGAGCACAGCCTGGTGTGTGAGGAGATTCAGTGATGAGCAAGGGCTGTAGGAAAGTGTGGAAGTGTTGGGCTTGGGTTGGCCAGTTGGCAAGATGAGGTCAGGCTTTCTGGCATTGTCGGGTTGTCTGTTGGCTGTGACTGCTGGTCACTAACAGGAGTGGCCTCCCACGGTCACTGTCTCACTGTCCTGTGTCCGCGGTCATAGCAGGGACGCCGACTCCTAGGTAGCCGCTCCTCTCTGCCGGGCTTCAACCTCTTAGTGCAAGTTGGCTGCTCTGGCCCTTTTCATCACATTTGCAGTCCCACCAGCAGGAGCAGTAAGAAATGGTGTAAGGAGTTCTGGTGGCACAGTGCCTAAGGCATTTGGCTGCTAACCAGAAGGTTGGCGGTTCAAACCCAAGAAGGGTTTTGGAAGGAAGATCTACTTCTGTAAAGATTTACTACCTTTGAAACCCAGTGGGGGTTGCTATGAGTTGGAATCGACTCAATGGCAGTGGATTTGGTTTGATCTGAGAGAAAGGCGTGCCCCCTCCCTCTAAAGATGTACCCTAAAAGTTGCTC